CAGCAGCCGCAGGTGCTCGCAGCAGGCGGGCGCTGCGACGGGCTGCTGCAGCACTTTCGGCACCTGGCCAACAGCAGCCTGGACGGCACGACATGCGATGTGGTGTGTGTGGGTGTGCAAATTCCGCTGGACATGGTCGTCGAGGAGATGGCCCGGTACCAGCAGCAGGTGCTGAGTGCAGCGGCTTTGGCGGCGCCGACGTTTGGGCTGTGGACGCGCAAACGCTGCGATGTGGTTGTGGCGTCGTTTGGCACCCAGCCGATGCTGCGCCAGCGGATCGCGCTGGCCCGGGAGCTGTGGGCCAACGGCCTGCGCACCGACTTTCTCTACAACGACGACCCCGAGATGACCATGGAGCGGCTGGTCGGAATTTGCCGCGACCAAGGCATGAACTGGATCGTGACGCTCAAGCGCCGGGCTGGCACCCCGTCGTCGGGCGACCAGCTGTCGGCGACGCGGTACATGTTCAAGGTCAAGAATATCCTGCGCCGCGTAGAGTCCGAGGTGGCCCATGACGCCCTGTGCGACTGGCTGCATGCAGACGTTGCCGAGCAGAACCGCATGGACCTGCACACCCACGGCCAGCGCAGCACGGTCCCAGGCAGCGAGTCGGCAGCGGCCAGTGCGCCTGCGGCAGACACTGCCACAACGGCCGCGGCAGAGACAGCTGCGACGTCGGCGATGGTGGGGCGCGGCGGGCGGCTCGAGGTGGTGGTCGTGGACCCGCAGCGCAAGGCGCGACACGTGAACCGCGCACGACAGAGGCACCGGACGGGGCTGTCGGACCGTGCGCAGGCGGCGGTGACACGCGTGCTTGCAGATGTGCGCACGGCGCCGGTGCTGGTGGTCGATGAGGGCGCAGAGGTCGTGCGGCGGCTCGCCGGCGAGCAGAGCATCCTGAGCGACGCCGGGTACAAGCGCGTGCTGGAGCTGTCGTCGCCCCACCAACGCGCGTACATTGTCGAGCTCCGCGCGCTTCTGGAGCGCTACCAGCGCGAAGGCGCCGCGCATGTGTGGCTCTACGCAGTCAAGGGCGATCTCGCTATAGCGTATACGCTGTAAAGATTCGTGTATTCAGTGCGACACTCCGCGTCACACGTTGGCTAGTGTCCCCGGACGCGGACACCTGGGGCAAGCTTGCGAACAGAGACGGGTCTGCGTGCCAGATGGAGGTGCTTACACCAACACCGGAGCCTCTGCTGCACAGCTGCTGTAGTTGGTGGGGGGGGGGGTCGTTGTAGCCCGGGCAGCTGCAGACACCCTCTGGTGGTGGTGGTGCGCATCAGAGGTAGCGCCGAGCGCAGCGCCCACCAGTGAACTGTCGGCTGTTGCGCGCAGTCTCCGCCTGCACGACACGACTGTGGGCCAACCAGCCATCCCCAATTGTTTCTAGAATGTGCCCCCAATGGCGGTGCTCCTCGTCCCGCGCTGTGGGCTGCGCCGAACGCGCCATGCGGCCTATCCTCATTGTACATGTGTCGCTTCTGCTGGGGGCTTGTGCCGCCGATTTTGGGGCATTATTCCCCATGCCAACTGCTGGCCGCCGTTACGCCAATGAGCTGCTCACGCCTTTAACTGGTTGGGGTGACTTCGCATACACCCCATCGTCCGTGTCGCTTGCCAGCTTTCCCGGCGGATATTTAAAGGCACGACACCCGCCCACCTCGACGCGACCTCCACCATCACCACAACCCAGCAGCAGCATCACCATCAGCAGCATCACCTTCAGTCAACTCTCCACCCGTCCAAGTACCCGCAACTCCTCAATCGAGCTATGCCAGAAACTGATTACGGTGTCATAGTCGTCCGGGTTAGGATACTACAAGACAATGTTTGGTCTGAACCTGAATATAGACATCTGAGCGCCTACACCTATCCCAAAGGCTGCAGTCTTGAGAAGACACCCGAATTACACCATGTATGGGTTCTCGACCAACTTGAGTATCCATTCACGGCAGGTGAACATTACAAGGACGACATTTATAACTTGTGGTGGTGCCCCATCTATGGATGCTGAACCGCGAGCTGATTTGCGAGTCCGTGGTGGCAGCGGTTGCATTCAGGGGACAGGGAAGGGACCATCGTAGACTGCTTAGCTTTCTGTTGCCTTGAAGCTGCTGTTTTTGATGTTGAGCCCCCAGCTGTGTTTGAAGCGTATCTCGCTAGCCATCGAGAATCGGGTGAATGAGCATGGTGGGGGGTTGGTAGTGCTGCCAGATCCACAGGGCTAGTGGTAGGCACAGCTCATGAAGGCTAATCGGCGCTTTTCGGCTCCTGCTCCATCGAGCATGCATGGTGCGCTACCAGCAATCTCTGGCATGCGCTGCCTCAACCGCCTGGCGGCCCAAGACGGGCGTGTCCTGGTTTCTACGAGCCATGCGCAGGTGCAGGTCGTTGCTGCTCTCCTGGCGGAGGGACAGTGGGCTCTGTTGTTGGCAAGATCCCCTGCCTCGTTCTGCGCCGCTGCTCCCAGCCAGCGGCCCCACTGGCTCGCTCCGACCGATGCAAATGCGTCGCTTTCTCCGGAGAAAACCATAGAGAAAACATGCCACCGTAGCGCGCTTCGGCACGCACGAGGCCCCGTAGCTCAGTGGATAGAGTGTTCGTTTCCGGAGCGAAAAGTCCCAGGTTCGAACCCTGGCTGGGTCGCATTTTTGCTCCGCTCGCCGGCGGCTCCTCCTTTTTTTGCAGCCACGTCCAGCGGGCGTGGGTCATATAAGATTCTATTCTTTCGACGGGGCGGGCATGGCTCCAAATCTGTAGCCCGAGTTGTGCAGTAGGCGCAGCGCAGCGCCCGCGTGGAAGAGCGCAGGGTAACTCGCCCTGTTGACTTTGGTGCTGCTGCGCATTCGAGTCGGGCGCCACACATCCACAGATCAATGCGACTCGGTAAAGGCATTGTGTCTGCGGCGGCGACTGGAGAGGGGTTGGCGAAATAGTGCAGCGCCCAGTTCAATGGAGCACGTGCTACTGCACGGCTGCAGGGGGGCGCCAGTTGCCGGCCACTGGAACCGGCGCCATGCAGAACACAGAACGGATTTATAACTGCGCAATCCCGGCGGCGGGGTTTCACCATGCATCGCGCTATGCGAAAAGCGCACGGGTGCGCACTCTTACCCGAGCGAGCCAGCGTGTTTGGAGGTTGCGCGTGTTGATACTGCAGCGAGCGGCGAGGCATCCCCGCCGGGGACGGCACTAGATGCCTGCCCGGGCCCCCAGCTGCCCTGTTCGGCGGTGCACAAACCAGCCAACCGCGCAACCGGGACGCGTGGCTCTCGTGCCAGCTAGATTCCACAGCCGCGAGACGCGCCCTGTCCTCGTGCCTCGGCCACGCGCAAGGGAAAGCAACAGGGTGGCTATAAAAGCAATGGGCTGCCACGCCCGGCGAGACAGTAGACCCCCTTTGAGAAAAACCAGTGCCCGCGTCTATTAAACGCTCACAAACATCTGCTCTCTTACACGCGAATACCCCTTTTCACGTCGCTTTATCTCTGGACTGACACGATCCACTATACTTTTTTATCGTCACGCGTTTGTTACGACCGGACACGCCGCACGAGGAGGAGACATGGCAGGGCTGGTACTGCTGCTAGCTGTTTCCTCGCTGGTCGTTCTGTGGCGGGGGTACAGCGGGGTTGGCTGGACAACAGGCGTGCTTACTCTGGCGCTCGCGGCAGCGGCGGCAACAGCCGTACACCGGGCGATATATGCGTTTATCTTTTCGCCGCTGCGGCGCATCCCCGGGTCGTTGCTCGCGCGGTTAACGGCCAAGCGGATGGAGTTTGGCACGGTCGTCGGAAACATGTCGCGGATTGGAAAGGCCGACTACGAGCGCTACGGCGATGTGTTTATGGTGACGCCGGACTCGGTCGGGATATGCAACCCGGACGACATACGCGCGCTGCTCAGCAACCCGGTCGTCGAAAAGGCGCACTACTACCGGATCCTGCGGTTCACGGGCATCGACAACACGGTGAGCACGCAGGACATTGATCTCGCCAACACGCGGCACCGGCAGATGGGGCCCTTTTTCAAGCCGACGTACCTGGCCAAGATGGAGCAGACAATCATGGAGCACGGCATCCTCTCCATCAAGCGCAAGTGGGATCGGATGATCGCGGAGAGCGCGGATGGCAGCGTCGAGGTCAACTACTGCAACGACTTTTTGTTTGCCGCGTTCGACATCATCGGCACGCTGGTGTACGGGCGGCAGATCGAGGAGCTCAGCACAAACGACGCCAAGACGGCAAAGTGGATCGACAAAACCGTCACGTATCTCGGGGTCCGGTCGATGGCGCAGCTGCTGCTCCCGTATCCGCTCTCGCTGCTCATGCGGCCGTGGGAGAGCCGGTACACGCGGCTGAGCAGCTACATACACGAGTCGATAGGCATACGCCGGCGGCACTTGGCCGAGCTCGCGGAAAAGGGCGAGGCGTCCAAAAAGCCTGCCGATCTGCTCCAGGCGTTCATCGACGCCGAGGATCCAGAGTCCAAGGTGCGCATGTGCCACGACCAGATCCACGGCGAGTGCGTGCTGATGATGCTCGCCGGGTCGGACACCACGTCGCACACCATCACCTGGACGGTGCACCTGCTGATGCTGTACCCGGAGCACTACCGCCGTGCGGTGGCCGAGGTGCGCGAGCGCTTTGCCGCCGACCACGTCATCACCCACAGCGAGTGCCGCGCGCACCTGCCGTTCGTCGAGGCGTGTCTGCTCGAGTCGCTGCGGCTCTCGCCGGTCACTGGCGGCCTGCTGCCGCGGGTGTCGCCAAAGGGCGGCATGCACGCGCAGGGCCACTTTATCCCCGAGGACACGGTCGTGTTTGTCAACCTGGCCGTCGCCAACCACCACCCGGCGTACTGGGAGCGCCCGCACGAGTACGACCCGATGCGCTTCATACGGAACAGCGAGGCGCGGCACAACGTGCTGACGTTTAGCCACAGCCGGCGGATGTGCCCCGGCCGACACCTCGCGCTCTGGGAGATGCTGACCGTCCTGGCCAACGTCCTCAAGGACTACGACATGCAGCTGCCGGACGACTACACACATCTCGGCCCGCATGTGCTGAGCCGGCATGGGTACCCAAAGCAGATGGACGCGCAGCAGTACATTGTGGTCAAGCCCGTCGATGCCGAGCGCGACTGCCGACTAGTCATATCCAAGCACCAAAAGTGATAGCGAATGCTGCTTTTAGTTGTTGGCAATGGTAACCTCGACCTCGACCCCGGGCTCAATGGCGATGGAGGTGATCTGCTTGACAATCTCGGACGGCGAGTAGAGGTCCACGAGGCGCTTGTGGATCTTCATCTCGTAGCGGTCCCAGGTCTTGGAGCCCTCGCCGTTGGGCGTCTTGCGGGTGGTGATCGACAGGCGCTTGGTCGGCATGCGCACGGGGCCCTTGACCTTGAGCTGCTTGTCCTTGGCGCGCAGGATCAGGTCCGAGCACGTCTTCTCCACGCTCTTCACATTGCGCGAGGTGAGCGTGATGCGGATGCGGTGGATCTGCACCTCCGACGACTCCTGGTAGCCGGCCTTCTTGGCGACTTGAGACATTCTTCCGAGTGGATGGGGGGCTGAACGGGGCGATTCGGAGAAACGGGGCGCGGTCCCAGCGGTGACCAAGCTGTGGCTAACGGGCAGGCGGCTCGACGCTAGCTGAGATTTCGAGATGGAGAGAGGAGAGAACCCGTCGCCTGGAATTGCAGCGCGCCGGGCGCAGCTCTAGCCGCGGCGGGCCGAAAATGTTTTTCCCCCCTACTCTTTCGCAACCAGCTGATCTGATCCAGCAATCGGCCCTACAGTGGGTCACGTGCGAGATCCGAGTTGCTGCGCTGGCCGTCTGCGTGGATCGTACAAGTTCATAGGAGCCGGGCGGGGCTGCAAGCTGGGGAAAGGGGGGTGTGGGCGGGGGCTGGTCTAAGCAAGTGGCGGGATGCGGAACACCATGGTGGTGATGTTGTCCATGCTTTCGTTGGAGAGCGCGTGCTGCAGGAGGATCTCGCTAGCCCGCAGCGGGTCTGGCTCCGCGCGGGCGAGGTCGACGGCCGCCTGGTCCGTGCACACGTCCCACAGGCCGTCGCAGGCCAGGATGAGCACGTCGTCCGAGCCGGGCACGAGCCTGGTCTCGGTGGTGTACGGGTTGCCAATGACAAACTGCTTGAGGCTCGAGTCGCCAAGGGCGCGCGTCACCGCAAGGACGCCGTTGACGCGGCCGTTGAACACGTAGCCGCCGGCCTCGGAGATGCGGTCAATCTCGTTCGGGTCCTCGCCCTTGTGGTCATAGGTCAGCCGCTTGGCCACGCCGCCGCGGCTCAGCACGGCGCGGGCGTCGCCGACGTTTGCACAGTACAGCGTCCGCTGACGCCGGACCGTGTCGCCGTCGGCAACCTCCGAGACCTCGACAAAGGCCACGACGGCCGT